GCTGTTATCAGTTTATCATGCAGCTGTTATCAGTTTATCATGCAGATATTAGCAGTTTATCATGCAGATATTAGCAGTTTATCATGCAGATATTAGCACTTTATCATGCAGCTGTTAGCAGTTTATCATGCAGCTGTTATCAGTTTATCATGCAGATATTAGCAGTTTATCATGCAGCTGTTATCAGTTTATCATGCAGCTGTTATCAGTTTATCATGCAGCTGTTATCAGTTTATCATGCAGATATTAGCAGTTTATCATGCAGCTGTTATCAGTTTATCATGCAGATATTAGCAGTTTATCATGCAGCGGTTTGCAGGTTTTGCAGATGTGAAGTGAAGCTGTAAAGGTCAGTGTGATGGATGGAGACAATTTGTTGGGTATAAAGAGAGAAGACACTCTGATCCAGCCATAGAAATACTTTGTATGATAAAAGTAAAGAAATTTACTAGAACATAATTTTTAAAAACATGGAAACTGTTTATTATTTTAGTTCATTCAGTCTATAGTTTGTGCATTTTTAGTTGCTGCCTGTTTCTATGAAATGTAGGCAATAATGTAAATGTTATGTGTGTTTCTGTTTGTCTGTTAGTAAAATATCTATTAGTGGACTAACATTAATAAAACAGTTACAGTGTAAGTATTGAGTGTACGTCTACAACTTCTTTACAAACTAAACTAATCTTTCAAAGATTCCCTGAATCGGATCTGAGCATCTGATAAATCCCAGGTTAGGTTCAGGTTCAGGTTTGTTGTTTCTGATTTATCACCTCGCAGTCGGAGCTGCAGGTAGTCGGGTTACTATCTCAGGTGCAGTTCCTCCTCCGGGTTTCTGCTGTGCATCAGTCCAGGAACAGGGTCCGACAACAGAACAGGCAGACAAAATGTGAAATAAACCTCCTCAACGTTACTCAGCAGCAGAACACGAGCTGAAACCAGGGTTTGATGATGATGAAGGTGGTGAAGGTGGTGACCCAGCTGATGTAACGGTTCTGCTGGTGTCTGTCGGTGTGCAGATAAATAATGCAGAGTCATGTTTAACCTGCACAGTTTCAGTTACTGACCATGACCCGGTCGTGTAGGAGGAGAAGAGGAACAGGAAGAGGAACAGGAACAGGAAGAGGAAGAGGTGGGGGAAGAGACAGAGGAGGGAGAAGAGGAAGAGGAGGGAAAAGAGGAAGATGAGTCTATAGAGATCAGCAAAGTTTCACCCTAAAGTTTTAGACCACCTTAACAGTTTATTTGTTTGTTTTGTTGTTTGTTTATTTTCACATTTTCTGTTATTTATTTATGTTTTATCTTTTTAAAGGACAGCAGCTGGCAGGCTTTAGTTTAAAGAGGGCGCCTGTTAGTTTGCTGAAATGAAAAGAACCTGTAGGACCTAACTCAGTAAGCCTTCTGGTGTCTCGTCTCTCAGAGGAGATCCAGACCGCTGTGACATCTGGGGCAACACTCCGCTTCATCTGGCCGCCGCCAACGCTCACCTCAACTGTCTGTCCTTCCTGGTGGCCTTCGGTGCCAACGTGTGGTGTCTGGACAACGACTACCACACACCCTTGGACATGGCCGCCTCCAAGGGCCACATGGACTGCGTCCGCTACCTGGACTCCATCGCCGCCAAGCAGATCACCCTCAACGCGAAGCTGGTCAGCAAGCTCAAAGACCGGGCGTTTCACGCCGCGGAGCGTCGCATCAAGGACTGCGAGAAGCTCCAGAGGAAGCACCACGAGCGAATGGAGAGGAAGTTCATGAAGGAGTCTGCGGGTTTCGACAACATGGACGCCATCAGCTTCTCCAGCTACACCAGCAGCAGCACGCTGAGCCGCAAGTTCAACACCGTCACCTCCAACATGCCATACTCACAGGTGGTGTAGTTCACGTTTAAGAACCAAAGACCACCTGTGGCTCAGTTTAGGCTCTGTTCACACCAACAGGAAATACTTTGCTACATTTTTATCTGGTTGACCTCCTTCACATGAGACGACTTTATAACAAGAAGCATGTGTTACTGACTCATGAATTAAATGTTAGAAGCTTATCAGCCTCTAAAACAAAGGTTAGTTAGGACAAATTTCTGGACTTCAGTCAAATCCCATTTTCTGATGTTACCCGAACGTCTAAATGAACCCACAGCTGTTAATCTGAAGTCACAGGAGGTCTTGGTTCTAATTAATATCCTTTCCAGAAGCTGTTCTTCACTGATTTGTTTAAATGATGCACTGAAGATCTCAGTTTCTGAAGTTACACTTTCCTCTCCAGGCCACCCTGCATTCGACAGCCAAGGGCAAAGCCAAGATACAGAGGAAACTGGAGAAGAAGAAGGTTGATGGGACGTTTAAGATCTACGAGGACGGGAGGAGGAGTGTACGCTCGCTGTCCGGACTGCAGCTGGGAAACGATGTCATGTTCCTCAAACAAGGCACCTACGCCAGCCCCAAGGAGCGCACTCGTCTCAACATCCGGGACATGTTCCCCAGAGACATGGACGATGACGTTGAGACCGTCTCCCGTGCCATGAGCGACCCAGGTCTCTACGAGGCTGCGTTTTCAGAAATCAGCGCTGACTCTGGGCGTGATTCTCTGTTCACCCGCCCCGGGCTCGGCACCATGGTGTTCAGGAGGAACTATATGACGGCTGGCATGTTTGGGATCGGAGGACGGAACGAAGGAAGCGTGGCGGGAAGCGAACCCATCGGCCGAGCGCCTAACGTCCGCCTGCGTGGACGGCTGCCCCGACGCGCCTCCAGCTTTGATGAGGACAGCATTGGCAGCGCCTACAGCCTGCAGGAAAAAAACCTGCAGGAGCTGCCCTGGGAAGACGTGGACGTTGGGCTGGACGAGGACATGGAGCCTGAACACAATCCTCTGGAGACGTTCCTGGCCTCTCAGGGCCTCGGAGAGTTCATGTCCATTTTCCTTCGGGAAAAGATCGACCTGGAGGCTCTGCTGCTCTGTTCAGAACAGGACTTGACGAGCATTCACATCCCCTTGGGCCCCAGAAAAAAACTGTTGGACGCCTGTAAGAGACGATTGGACACGCTCGAGGAACCAGATGCTATTGAAGACACCGAGCTTTGACTTTCAGGCTGTTTCATATTTTAACATATTACAACATATTTTGTTTTATTAGAAAAGTATCATCACCTTTTCCCCTGTAAATAAACACAAACAACTTTATTCATCATTTCATTTGAATCATATGTCATGTTGCTCACTGCTGGAACAGCGCCATCTGCTGTCCATTTGTTGTAACTGCAGGAAGTTTAAAACGAGGCCTCCGGCAGGTGATGGGGCCTGTGCTGGGTTTTTATATTAGTTTGTTATTGTCAGTTTATTCCAAACTTTTAAATTAAAACAGTACAGCTTTGGATATACAGAAAACTCATACATACTGAATCAGTCAACAACTTGCACAAAGTAAACATTATTTTAATCATAGTAATCCGGTGTCTGTAATTCTTCAAAAACTGAATGTCTAAAAGAAATAACATTGGCAGGCGTATCCACATATACACATACACAAAGCTACCTAATGTAATTTATGTACATTCACCCACCTATTCTCACATTTACACATACTAACACTCCAAAACCAACTCAGAATCATTATATTTTCATAATTAGTTAATCAGGCTTTTCTACATATACATACTTCTTGAACATAATTGTGTTCCATAATTTAACTCCACAAACAGAAATACAAATCTTTTTATCTGCAGTCAGACCCGAGCACTGAAGGTGATGTGGAGAGCCAGTTCAAACTGTAAAATGTATCTGACAAAGAGTCCCCGCCAGAAAACAACTGCAGGCTCGAGTCAAGGCTCCTGAGGAACGCCAGCACCTGTTCACAAACACAAGCTTCAAGGTCTTGATTAAAGGACCTGACCTTAACAACAGGATGAGAAAACAGACCTTTTGATTATTATTATCATGGTTTAATTTTTTCTTATTCCGTTTGCTGCTTCACCTGAGGTGCAACTTGTTTACATCACAAGTATTCAGAGGTTTTCACCTCACAGAAAGAGTTGAACTGAACTTCTTTTGGGGGGCAGTTCATAACTCCATTTAATTGAATGCACATCTATAAAGTAGTTGTCTGTTCTACACAGTAGTAGTTCTAGTTGTATATCTATTAAATTAAATTGTTTATTAAGAAGGCAACTTTTGGCCATATGTCTTGTTCAGCTAAACACGTCAGCTTTTAAAGGACACAATTAGTTTTGTGGTTTTACTTTAAACTAAAAGTAATTTTCTTCATTATGATGGTATGTCAGAGAAATCTGGTTCCTTCGAAGTAATTTAATGAAGCTGACAGGTTAAGAGAAATACATGGCAGTCTCTGCTCTCAGCTTATTTTAGAGCCAATAAATAATCTGAGTTGGGAGAGTCCAAACAGTAGAGAGACAAGTACACAGCCCTGTAGTCCACCATTAACCCAAAAAGTGCAGATTCGCCATCTTAAAGGAATGTATTGTAGGTGATTGTGTAGTTTCAATTACTGCGAAGAAGAGTGAGATGGTAAAGTTCAGGGAACTGTAGTTGGAGACGATGGATGTCGGTCAGTAGTTGTGCAGAACTCAGGATCAAGGTGCACGTGTATAGTTTAGGTTGACTACAGCAGATTTAAAGCTCAGTGGCAAAATGCCCGAGGTAAACAGAAGACCTTTGAGTGCTGAATGTTGGAAGATGCCATGAACCAGTCATTCCAGTTGAATGAGAATAAAACTGGTGAAAATTCCCTGTGCAATGTTTTTACTGTTCAGAGGCCTAAAGGAAACGGTTGGTCATATTTGTTTTTATTTTAAAAGTGGCAACAGAATTCTCAGAATGAACCAACGCATGTCATCACCAGCATGATGACGCTCCTCACCCTGTCTGTAAGGCTGTGCCCGGCAGCTGCTTGTATCCAGGACTGTTTTCCTTTTGACCATCGGTGAATGAAGGATCATCGATTGATCAGAAATCTGAGAAATGAGCTGTTGGGTTCAGCTCCTTCATCATCACGATAGAATGGAAGAACATCTTTTGTCTGCGAGGCATCAGTCTGCTGGTCCGTCTTGCCATCAGTCGTGAACAAGACTCCCAGATAGTTGAACTCCTCCACTTGAGGATAAACCTGACCTCAATTCAATTCAATTTATTTATAAAGCACCAAATCACAACAAAGTTGTCTCAGGGCACTTTACAAAAACATTCACATACATAAAAGCCAGTTAGTAAAGTTCTCTATCTAAGGAACCCAGCAGACAAGTTGAATCTTGGCTTCGTTGCAGTCTCTCATCCTGAGCAAGCACAGTGGAGACAGTGGGAAGAAAAACTCCCTTTTTAAAGGAAGAAACCTCCAGAAGAACCAGGATCAGGACAAGAGACCATCTGCTTTGACCGGCTGGTTGAGAGGACAGGAAGGAGAGACAGACAATCATAGAATGGTAGGTCCAGATATAGGTCCAGATATAGGTCCAGGTATAGGTCCAGGTCCAGGTATAGGTCCAGGTGTCCCTGAAAGTAAAAAAAAAAACATGTTAAGGATAGAAAATAAAATGACAAATACAAACCAGGTTGAGCAGAGTAAGTAAAGACAGAAGCAGAGTGAAAAGTGTGGTCAGTTTGTCCTCCAGCAGTCTAAGCCTATAGCAGCAAAACTAAGGGACAGCTCAGGAAACCCAAGCCGACCCTAACTATAGGATTTATCAGAAAGGAAAGACTTAAGTCTAGTTTTAAAACTGAATAATGTGTCAGCCTCACGGACAGAGATTGGAAGTTGGTTCCACAAGAGAGGAGCCTGAGAACTGAAAGATCTTCCTCCCATTCTGTTCTTGTAAACTCTAGGAACCACAAGTAAACCTGCAGTCTGAGAGCGAAGTGCTCTGTTAGTAAAATATGGAACAATAAGATCTGTAATATAAGATGGAGCTAGGTTGTTGAGAGCTTTGTAGGTTAGAAGTAAGATTTTGAATTCTATTCTGGATTTGACAGGGAGCCAATGGAGAGAAGCTAAAACTGGAGAGATATGATCTCTCCCAGTAACTCCAGTTAAGACTCTGGCAGCAGCATTTTGGATCAACTGAAGACGTTTTAAAGAAATATTTGGACACCCAGATAATAAACCGTTGCAATAGTCCAGTCTAGACGTGACAAATGCATGGACCAGTTTTTCTGCATCATCTTTAGATCAGATGTTTCTAATGTTAGTGATATTACGCAGGTGGAAGAAGGAGGTTCTAGTAACGTTTTTAATGTGGGGGATAAAAGACACGTCCTGATCAAAAATAACACCAAGATTTTTAACATTAGAGCTGGAGGACAGATTAATGCATCTAAGGAGGGAGAAAGACTGAAACATTCATTCCTAAGGTGCTCAGGTCCAAAAACCAAAACCTCAGTCTTGTCTGTTCAACAGGAGAAAATTAAGGGTCATCCAGGTTTTTATGTCTTTAAGACATGCTTGTAGTCTAAGTAGCTGATTGGATTCATTGGGTTTAATGGACAAATATAATTGTGTATCATCAGCATAACAATGAAAATTTATCCCATGCTGTTTAATAACTTTGCCTAATGGAAGCATATATTAAGTAAAGAGTATTGGCCCAAGCACTGAGCCCTGAGGAACTCCGTGGCTAACTTTGGTGTATGAAGAAGATTTATTATTTACATTTACAAACTGGAATCTATCAGATAGATATGATTTAAACCATTTTAGAGCTGTTCCTGTTATCCCAACATCATATTCAAGCCTCTGTAGTAAAATATTGTGATCAACTGTATCAAATGCAGCACTGAGGTCTAACAGGACCAGTAGAGACACAAGTCCATTGTCTGAGGCCATGAGAATATCATTAGTGACTTTTACTAGTGCTGTTTCTGTGCTATGATGAGCTCTAATCCCTGACTGAAACTCCTCAAACAGATTATTTCTTTGTAGATGTTCACGCAACTGACCTGCAACTATTTTCTCTAGAATTTTTAGATGAAAGTTGTAGTCCTCAGAGCCCCGAGCTTCAGCATTTCAGAGCAACTCTTCTTCTTTCCTGCTTCTCATTGTGCTCGTTCTGGGTTTGCAGTTCTCGGACCAAATGAAGCACAAACTGGGCTCGTCTCACGTCAGAGAGGCAGCGGGTCCAGGAGGAACTGCTGCCTCCATGACACAGGTCATGACACCTGAATGTTGTAGAAGGAAAGATGGGATGTTGCAGTGAGGAGTCAAATAAATGTCGCCTCAGCATTTCTTTTTATTCATAACTTTTTTAAAGTTTTATATGCTTGGTGTCTTATGAACCATGTCAATGCAGGGTGGTGCAGTGGTTTGTGCTGCTCCCTCACATCAAAGTTTTTGTGGGTTTAAATCTTGGCTGAAGCATTTCTGCATGGAGTTTGCATGTTCTCTCTGTCACAAGACATGTATGTAAGGTGAACTGTGCCTAAGCATCAAATGCAGCCTGAAGGCCTGTTGAAACAGTTTATTCTTTATCTGATCAATAAATCTCATGCTTGAGTCCTGAAATCAGGATGTTTGTTTTCACAGGCCCACACATGACCAAATATTAAACATGGGTAAATCTGGTTCGTCGTTTGTTCATTTTTCTTCATAAAACAATGAAATTATACAATTTAACATGAAATCAGAAAAGAAGCGGTAACTTTTTTAGATAAAGCTTTCTCCAAACATATTATTTAATCTTAGTTTTATTAATTCTCCTCCAATTAAAACCAGCCTTATTACTTGGTTATTTTTACATTCTATATTATTGCATCATTAAAGTACTTTTAATGAAGTAAATGGAGATAAACTTCTTAAAATGTTTCTTTTAACACACATGCATTCCCCGTCACGTGCCCAGTATGGAGTCTATAGTTTGCTGGTGATGGATGTAAATAATCATAGTCTGGGTGCACACACACACCGAGGTGTCAGTGAGTGTGTGTCACATAAAGCTGCTGTCTCAGGTGACTCCACATCATATCTGGTTTCACTGCCTGAAGCTGCGCCTGAGGGTACGACTTCACAAATACTGTTATATTTTAAATCTCAACACAAATATTAAACTTTACTAAATAAGAAAATACCCTTTTTGTTTACATATAAGTAAAATGTTTAGTTCAAATCATCTATTTTTTAAATCTTTGCACTCTTTGTTGTGTTTCTGCAGCACTCTAGTTTCTTTCAAAGAACCATACCAGCAGAGTTTTTGACGTACTGGAGTTGTTCTGAGGTTTTTCCAACAAGAACCCCAGACGGGACATTTTAAAGGTGTGGCTTGAGGAAGGATTCATGATGGAGCGGTTTTGTAGATTTGGATGATGATGGATCTAATGGCATCCAATAATTCTCAGTCGGGTCATCTGGACAGTTTCTTTTTTTTAGAGGCGTTTCGCCCTCCATCCGGAGGGCTTCATCAGACAGAGGAGTTCCAGTAAACTGTTTCCCCACCAGCAGTACACTCCTTAGTGGACCAACCAGCTTGCTGGAGTGAAGATGGTTGTGTGGTGCCTGCCTGGGAGGAGTCGACGAGGGACAGGACGGCCCCCAGACACCATCTTAGCTCCAGCAAACTGGTTGGTCCTCTTAAGGAGTGTACTGCTTGGCGGGGAAACAGTTTACTGGAACTCCTCTGACTGATGAAGCCCTCCGGATGGAGGGCGAAACACCTCTATAAAAAAGAAACTGTCCAGATGACCCGACTGAGAATTATTGGATTTGGTACTTGGATGATTGAGCATGAGCTTTGTTGATCTAATGGCATCTTGGACCATTCCAAAGTTGAAAACCCTGGGTTAAGGAGGGAATATGGAACGCCCAGCTACATCCAGGATATCTCCAACCTTCTTAAGAAGTGCCTTTGGCCTCACAACCAGTCACTTTGAAGACTCCCAGACTTCGAGACAGGACGTTCTTGTAAATTTGTGTACCTTCAAATGTAATCTGAGATCATGATAGCCAGCATAGATAATTACAAATAAGTTGTCCAAGTACACAACCCTGAGGTGCTCCTTAAAGGACTGGAGTTGTAAGGGAACAACAGTGACAAACTTTTTTTTTAACCTTATAGGTGGAATTCAACCAGAAAGAAGCTGTTTCCCTGACACCAAGGTGGTGATGCTGGGGGGTGAGAAGGAGAGAAATAATGTCAAGGATGGCAGAAAGAACAAGGAGAACGAGAAGACTAATGTGACCAGAGTCTGCAGTGGTAAGTGGATCAGTGAAGGTCCTAACAAAGGTGGTCTCAGTCCTGTGGTGTGCCCTGAATCCAGATTGAACCACTTGTACTATTTCCCTGATAAACTGGAGATTGTGAGTCCAAACCTGGATTCCTCGGGATGGGAGGCGACAGAAGAAAGGCTGGACAGAAGGAAACATGGCCTGATTCATTAGAGGAGTTTTTAACATGTATTTTAATTGAGCACATGAAGAAGTAGACCAGAGTTGATCAATACTGTAGAAATTCAGTTCAAGAGAGACTTGGCCTCGGGGACCAACTTAATGTTTTTATAAAAGTCATCACTGAGGCAGTAAAGCTGAGAGGGGTTGGAGTTTTACACCAACATCTCGTTTGGAGGAGGTGGGGCAGGAACCTTCAAATGCTGATGGATGGAATCAATCTTCAGAAAAAAATCAGGATCACCTGAAACATGGAGGGTTAAATGACAGTAGAAATGTCATCAGGATAAATGGTAAATGGGCTGTGCTTATATAAAGCCTTTCTACCCAGTCAAGATACTCAAAGCTCTTTACAGCAATCTGTGCCCTCGTTTACCTCCACACACATTCATACACCGATGGGAGTCCCATCATGGGACACACATCAGAGGCAATGAGGGTTCAGTGTCTTGCCCAGGGACACTTCAACATGTGGAATAGAACCCTCAACTCTCCCATTGGAGGACGACTGCTCTATCCATTCAGCCACAGCCGACCCACGTGTGAATTACCAACGAAAATGAAGTTTGTGTTTTAAAAAGTCATTTTGAGCTCAGTTTCAAATAGACTGTGCTGATTTTCAGATAAGGTCAGAGCTTCTGCAAAGTTCAAGAGTAAACAGTCAGTTTGACACGAAGGGTGATGGTTACCTCAATCATTTTGGAAAATAACTAATCAATCAACCTTTATTTCTACAGGTAAATCCCATTGAGCCTCGAGGACTCATTTACAAGAGAGACCTGATTAATATACCTGACTAATAATATGCCTTCCCATGTCTAAGCTCGACCATTGATTAATTCAGATTTCAGTGATAAACATTTTATTGTAAAATGAGCAGAATAAAAGACAAAACCATTTGTATTTTTCAACACATCCTCTTTTAATTAGTGTGTGGAGAGAAAGCTGAGCTGTCAGACAGCCTGCTGATCATGTTGTCCTTCTCTGCAGGATCTGCTGTCCTGCTGAGTAAAAAACACTCAGAGTGTATCTTTGCTGCACCGTGTCTGGCCTCCCTCCAGAGGAGAGCAGCCCGGACACCAGATACGTGGATGCAGCTCACATGCACACTCACCTGTGCCAACACATACACCCGAAGCACGGAGACACTCTCCTGCACTGCAGCATCTTCTGTTTTCCACACTCTGAACCTCTTCCCATGACGGACACAAGAAACAGCCATCAGCCCTATTTTCCCCGTCTTCTTTCCCAGGACATTTGCCACAGTACCACCGAGGGAGGGGGGACCACACAAAGGCAGAAGGGGTGGGTTAATGCAGAATGTATGAGCCACCGGAGAGGAGGTGCAGTCGCCTCTGAGCAGAGCAGATGTAGTTTTCTTCCATCAGTTTTGGATCCATCACGTTAATTCTTTAATTTAGGATCAATAAACTCCAGGTCTGCAGCACCGCAGGGGGGGAAGGAGGGAAGAGACGAGGAGGAGTTAGGAGAGGAAGGGCCGGCCTTCTCTGTCTCCATCAGGAACTTTCTGAGTATTGACTTTCCTCCTGTGGACTCTGTGTTCTGGCTGCAGCTTGGAGGACACAAACCGCATGTCGACTTCACCCTGAGCCGCTCAGCATGCAGAGTTTACCGGAGGGCAGCCGGGACGACGGAGGGACCGGAGCGAGGAGCGCAGAGCTGAAGGACGGACGACCAGGAGCGAGACACGAGGAGCAGGAGTCCCTGATGATGGAGCTGACCAGGATGGTGCAGAAGGTGTTGAAGGAGAGCAGCTGGTGGGAGAGGAGGGGGGTGGACTGCAGCATCCTGGCAGCAGCCTTCCTCAGTCTGCCTCCCGGTAAGAAATCCCACAGATGTGAAAGAGGCTCACTAAAACTGAAACTTTTGGAATTATCTACTGTTTTCATGGTTATTCCATTATCTTTGAGGGATTTTGTTGCTCTTTTCATTCTCTTTATGCTCAGGTGAGCATTTCAGCAGTTCAGATAGAAACTAAATTCCTACCAGAATCAACAATCCTTCTGTAACTTATCACCACTGCAGGTAAACACGGCCCTGTCTGAACCACAAGGTGCTCTTACTCTTATTCCATATAACTCCTGGTCAGAGCAAAGTGACAGCAGAAAATATATGAGAGATTCTGTCATCATCAGCAAACTTTATGACAAGGAACCTGGTCAGGAACCAACAACCAGAACACATTAACGACTAAAAACACACCCCTGACATTAGAAAGAAAGTTTGAACAAAAGAAGTGACCGTTATTGACGGAAAGAGTCAGTGAGTAAAAAGATGAATCAGTGTTTATGTTCAAGCAAACATTTGTGTCTTCACCTTCAACCAGCAACTCGGCAGTTCTTCTTAGTCACCAAATTATTTAGCAGGTTTGTCTTTATTTTATTACAATACCCTACAAACATTGTACAACTTTAGCAATTTTGTAACACTTAGGACTTTAAATGTGATTTAACGTTGTAGCTAATTGTGGGGCAGTTTGTAAAAACAAGAGTAAATTTTTTTCCCGCCTTTTTTCCCAGAAAAGGTGGGAATCACCTTGGCAACCAGTGACGCAGCAGATTCTAAGTCACTGGATCTTCTTTCATTAACCAGGTCCTTCTTTGTTTTATATTCCATCATGGCCACACACATAAATCCTGTAAAGGTTTAGTGATTTTGACCCAATTAGAACTTTTATGATCAATAAGTTTTTCAATTAGAAGTTTTAGGCAGTTTGGAAAAAAGGATTTTCAGTGTTTGAGAAAATTTTCACTTTTTTTCTTTTTCCCACAGAAAAGGTGGGAATCACCTTGACAACCAATTAAATCTAGTTATAGATTTGTTTATGTACATGGATAAACAACCAGCCAACCAAATAAATAAATAAATTCTGCATAATATGAACAGATATCATAATTTAATCATTTTGGTTCAAGGAAACTGAATAAAAGCAAATATAGAAAGTTCAAAAATAACTTTTAGGGAAAACAGGAAGAGGTTTTAACCTAGACTTTCAACATTAAGTTGTAAAGTACTTTTCAAAATAAAAGTCTGACTCTGTCTTAGACTAAAATAAAACTAAGACCCAAATTATTTTGTGTTTGTTGGAATGTCAGGCAGTAGCTTCATTGACAACCATTAAAAATTGTCAAAATAAATGTTGTAGTTTTTTTTTAAATTGATGACTCTAGTTTGTATTTGAATTTTGAATTTAAAGTTACATTTTAGTCCGCAGAGGTTATTTTAAAAATGCTACAAAAATACATTTTGATTTGACTCAAACAGGCAAACGCTTCATTGGTTTGTGTTTTATTCACACAATCAAATACATTTTAATCCAACGACAGCTCTGATGGTGTGTGTCCTGCTGATTCCTGGTGTCAGACGGACTCGAATCAGTCAGGAGTAAAGTTTTCTGCTGCTGTTAAAATTAATTAGTTTTACAGAAACCTTTTCCTTTTTTGTTGTGCTCATGCTTTCTTCTGAAGTCAAACCCAGAATGAGTCTGAGGAGGAGTTTTGCACGTTAAAGCACATAGTTTGTGACTTATCTGCTTGAAATAGTAGCTTTGAAATAAGACGGATCACATTAGCACAGATTTAGAGGGAGAACGTGCTCACTAAGTCCTGCAGGCAGCCCGAGGAGTTAACGTGGTTAAGAAATCCCACATGACTTTACTTCATCTGAGTAAAATATACGAGGTCAAGGTAAAAAGTGTTTTAATTAAATAAGAACCATTTTTTCATTAAAATGCCATTTCTGATTTATTGGCTAGTTAAATATTTCTGCACAATGAAAGTAATATTAATGATAAAAGCAGCTTCTGCATCCTGATTCAGCTGAAATGTGGTTATTTATTTACGTTTATTTATTTATTTATTACGTTAACATTTAGAAACAACTTCAGATTCTCAAAATAAAACCTCAAATAAAAAACGGTTCATGATATTTAATCAACTAAATTAACGATTTGCATGAACAATCAAAGGCCTAGCTTTCAGAAATGCACGTCACCTGCCGGTTTTTAGCTGTTTATCCTTAAAAATAATGTTTTGCTCAATCAAATCCAGAATCACAAGGTCTGTATGATCCGTTAGCACTCGGGGGATGTGTTGGGGACGACTCTCAGCTACCACATCACGTTTCACCTCAATATCTGTAACACTGACTGAGCTGGAGTCGTTTTTGTGTTTGGCGAAAGTGAGCACTTTCTTACGTTTGTGCTTCAGTTTTAGATTCTGAAGGAAGAAAAATAAAGAAGACATGAATTGTTGGAGTTCATTTAGAAACAGAACCTGTTGTGGTCTGCAGCCTTCCTGCTGCTGAGCTGCTCTCAGCTGTGCTGCTTCTTGGCGGGGATGCTGCTGATGGGCGTCGCTCACGCCGTCATCACAGTCAAAGGGACTCACCTGGCCAGCCACGGGACGCTGAGCGAGTCCAAGGTCCTCAGGAAGTTCTGGGCTGTCTTCTTCATCGAGGTGAGACATGGTGTCTTATGACACCCTCTCAGTCAAAGATGTTGGTTATTCGTTTAAGGTCTTAGGTACAGTTGGATTCAAAACACACTCATTTAAAATAACAATCCTTAGTTTTTATAAGTTAACCTGATTTAGACACTGACACGTTTAAAGTTTATTTAAATGAAACAACCGTGAAATTTAGTTTCACACAAGTTGATAAAAACTGAAGTTACTGTACCTTTAAGAAAGCCCAGTACGCTCTGATTGGTCAGTTCCAGAAGCCTGAATAGGCTCCACCCACTACCCAGAGTTTATGATGGTGCTTCAATGAATGTACCGCTTGTTCACTCAAATAAAACATGAATCTTCATCATTTCTCTTAATGTCCTGCATCACAGGATTTTAGAATCAGGGTCGTGTGGAGTCGTTATGAACAGTCAGTATCTTACCCACAGCAGTCATGCGTGATCACAGTTTGTGGACTCAGAAATAAATTCTCATGAAGAGGTTAAAGTGATCTTGTGTACTCTTGTTGTAAATCACTCTTTCAACATCCTCAGTGTGGAAGAATAAACTTTATTTAACCCTCCTGCTGCCCTTGGGTTCAACTGAAGGTAAACTGAAGGTAAACTTTGGTACCGTCTGTTGATCCCCTCAGGTCTGCGGCTCGTTCTCAGCTCATGTCGGAGTCAACGGCCACGTTAAGATGCATCACGCTTACACCAACGTCATCGGACTGGGAGATTCCAGCGTCTGGAAGGTCCCCTCTCTGCCTCGCAGCCTCTACCTGTTCGTGGCCCCCCTGGCGGTGCCGGTCATCACCCCGCTGGTCGCCCTCAGTGAGTCAGGTCGAGTTCTGACCCTGCGGGGCTCCTGACGTGTCTGTTACCTGACCTTTGACCCTTGGTTCTCAGGTTTGTTTGTGTGGTTTTCAGCTCACCATGACGGATGCTCATGGGTTTGGAGGATCAGGACGGTTCTGATGGTGGCGCTGGGCCTGTATTCACAGTACTGGCTGCTCGTCCACGTGTCCGGGATCAGGTCCGTGCACGGCGCCTTGCTCTGCATGCTGGTGTGCAGAGCCATGTTCTCGGTGCCGTTCATCCACGTCAACATTTTCCAGGTGACGGCACGCTCCCTGCAGAGCGGATTCAGAGGAATTAATAAAAACGTTAACCCTCCTGCTGCCCTTGGGTCAAATTTACCCACAAGACCTCAGTTCTAAGGCCCCATGGGTCATTTTGACCCAAGGGCAGCAGCAGGGTTCATTGAGTGTTCAGCATCCACACTGTCCTGATGGTTTTTCTGTATTTTTATTATTTTACGGTCTTATTACTTCAGCTTACTTGATGCTCTTTTAGCATTTTCTAGCATTCTGCTACTTGTAGCTTTTAGCTAGCCTTTTGCTTCTTTTTAACTAGCTTTTTGTTACTTTTAGCTTTCAGCTAACCTTTTGCTGCTTTTAAATGTAATTTAAATATTTTATTTTTTTACATCATTTGGTTACTTTTAGCTTGTAGCTAAAATTTCACTATTTCTAGTTAGCCGTTTGTTTCTTTTAGCTAACGTTTGGTTACTTTGAATTACTTTAGCACATTTTGCTTCTTTTAGCTAGCCTTTTGCTACTGTTAGCTTTTAATTAAACTGTTACTTTTAGGACTTCTTATAGTTAGTCTTTTGTTGCTTTTAGCTTCTAACAAGCTTTTAGCTACTTTTAATACTTTTACCTTTAGTCAAACTTTTTCTGCTGTAGAGTTTTACCATTTATAGATTATTCGTTAGCCTATTAGCTTTTAGGTAGCATTTATTTTCTTTAAGTTTTAGCTCTTTTTTCTTCTTCTTTTAGCTTGAAAATTTCAGTTTCAGCTGCTTCAGCAGTCATTCGGCTCTTAGTTTTCTCTCTTCAGTTTGCTGATTTTTCTGTCCGTCTGTGTTTTAGTCAGAGCGTTGATGTCGTCTCACAGATTTGTTCAGTTTCTTTCCAAACATCACGAGTGAGCGTTTCGTACCGTTTCGTGAGAGAAACTGCAGCCGAACGCCGCCCCGTGCTCCCGTCAGAGAACTAAAAGGATAAAAAGAAGAAGTCATGCGTGATTTTCCCAGAACGAGTCCTGCGGGTCGTCGGATCAAAGCGTGTGAAGGTGGATTAGAAAAACAGGTTCTTGGTGGGATCTGAGGGGAGTCTTTGTTCTAACTGGGAGGTCTAAATGGAGACCTGTTCTCCAGCATCTCCTGGGGCTCCTGGTGCTGATGTTGGCTGGTTTCCCATTTTGACCTCGTGAACTCTGAGGTTTGATGGGGCTGACCCGGTGCAGAAAACACGAGCGCAGCAGATTCTCTCTCTCTCCATCAGAGATGAACTGATCTGCACAGCTTCAGGTTCGGTTTCTGTGAATTTCAACAAAAACATCAAATGTGTTTCTGCTTGCAGCACGTCGGTCTGCCCATGTTTTCTGTGAAGAAAACACCGAAGAGAATTTACCAGATGACCCACGGAGTCCTGAACCTGCCTCGTAACTTCCTGCTGGACTGGACGTTCGGACACTCGCTGATCAGCTGCCACGTGGAGCACCACCTCTTCCCCTTCCTGTCGGACAACATGTGCCTAAAGGTGGAGCTACTAAACCTTTTCAGAACATTTAACTCCTGAGGTTTCAGTTTGGAGCATCTGCTCAACAGCTCCTTTCCTGTCTCTGGTATGTTTTTGTGGCAGCGTCACAGCGCCACTTACAGCCCTTGAGAGGAACTACAGCTGTTGTGTTGTTTTGTAATGTTTCCGTGTGGATGAAAACATTTGTAGAAACTGTGCCGTGTTTTGGAAAAAGTGCTTTTGTAAAGACGCATACCTGTGTGGACAGGAGCTCCATAAGTGCAAGGTGCCCAAACCATCAGCCCTCTACCATCAAGCTTTACAGTATGAGGTGTTTGCTGCTGTGCATTATGGGTAATCAGCTCCACTTTAGTCTGGTTTTGTTCCTGAAGTCTTGATAACGTTTAGAATCTATGTTGTGCTGCCATGTTGTTTTTAAGAGAGATGAGACTCTGATGATGGTTTTTAATGACATCTTTATTGCAATAGCGTCTGGTGATTCGGTACTTCTCGTCCTATTGGACCTTACATCTGCGTTTGACACCATTGACCATGAAATCCTCATTTCCAGGCTGGAGCATTGGGTAGCCATCACAAGTTCAGCGCTCAAAGGGTTTAGGTCCTGGCTCATTTTGAGAAACAGGTCATCACTAACCCGGTGGTAAAAATGGACCCTTCCATGAAGCTCAACTGTCACGTGAGCACAGTTAGCTCGTACTGTCCAAAAGTAACCTCGAGACAGTAGCTCGTGCTTTCACAACATCCAGGCTTGATTACTGCAACGTTCTTCTTTCTGGAATCAGTCGGACTTCTGTTGCTGTAACGGGTTCAAATGATGCGGCTCAAATTTGAACCGGTACAAGCAAAAGAGAGCACATTTCTCCGGCTTTGGCTTCTCTTCACTGTCTCCTGGTTCACTTCTGAATTCATCTAAAATTGATTTTGAAAGTTTTTAAGACTTGACAGTTGCGGTCCCTCTTACCTCTCTGATCTGCTGCAGCCATATGTCCCTCAGCGCTCTCAGCAGATCTGGTGAGTTCATCGTGCACTGCGAGCTCTTCTCTGCTGCAGGTCCAGAACTTCTGTCAGGCAGGCTCCCTCTCTTACTGTTTTTGTCTCGTTTAAAAACACACTTTTAAAATCGTTCCGAGTGTTTCGTGTTTGTTTACCTGTGTTGTTTTATATATTTTATCCTGTGTCCTTTGCTCGTTTATTTTGTTGTGCAGCACTTTGGTCGGTGTTGTTGCTGTTTCGAAGCGCTTTATAAATAAAGTGTTATGGAGGCCCGAGTCTGACCAGACCACCGGTCTCGAAGTGTCTCGTAGGGCGAGGAGTCTAACACGAGTCGTTTCTCTCTGCAGGTGAAGCCTGTGGTGTCCAGGTACCTGACGGACAGGAAGCTCCCCTACCAGGAGGACACCTACCTGTCCCGTCTGCACCTGTTCTACCACAAATACCAGGAGCTGATGGTGTTCGCCCCGCCCATCACAGAGCTGGTGGGGGTGCAGTGACTGGAGGGGGGGGCACAAAACAACCCATAGTTCAGTTAAATCACCTGAAGTTCATTTTAAATTAATGCAAGATGAGTTCAGCGTTTATCTGCCTGAATATCTCTAGTTCGGTAATTTAATCCTCTTTGTTGTTTTCTTGCTATTTGTTTCCAAGATTTTTATGATTTATTTTCTGACCCGTGTTGTGTTTGTTGGCTCTTTGTTTACATGTTAAATAAAATAAAACTCTAAGAAGTTTTTTTTTTGTTATCTGAATCCAGGTTCCCTCCAGTCAGCTTTTGTTCTCATTGTGTGTAACTTTATTAGTGTTTTTGTTTTGCTTTTATTCTCAAATGCTCCCGTTTAGTTTTTAATCCACACGTTTTATGAATCTGTCCCTGGGGATGATTGTTGTGACTTCAATACACACGCGGTTAAAAACCACCGATGGGTGAGGTTTGGTTGAGCCTCGGCCGGGCGGGGCACACAGCGTCACGTTCCCCCAGAAATGGGTCAAAATGGTGAATTTGTTGGTCTGAAGCTCCTGAAGAACGAGCCACACTGTGAGCCATGGGTTGGTGCTTCAACTTTCAGAACGTGGAATAAGGAACACCAGGAGGAAAACGTTTGTCTCAAGAATATTTAGCTGTGAGACGCTGTTTCTGGTATTTTTTCTTCTTTCGGCTGTTCCCTTCTTCAGGGGTCACCACAGCAAAGTGAGTCGCACGAAGACTTGACACCGGAGGTCCTTCCTGACTCAAGCACAGACACTGAGCTACCACAGCCTCTGTGTGGAGCAGAGAGCTGCCGTTTAGGGCGCCCAGGGGAGCAGATGGTGGGGGTTAGGTGCCTTGCTCAAGGGCCCAGAGCGGGGGAAAAGAGGGTGGAGGCAGGTGAGGATGCTTCACCTTTCCCCCACATTTTAATGTTGTTGGTCAGGGGAGTTGAACCGGCAACCTTCCAATCACAGACCCACCTAACCTCTGCGCCTGCTAATGTACATTTTAAATTTAGCGATGTCATCAAAGGATCTGCTGAACATTTAGCTGACAAACAGACACGAGCTAGAAGAGTTAAAAAACAAGAATCTTGTCAGTTTGGATACAGTTAGCTTTTAGCTAATATTGAGCTATTTTTAGCTTTTGTTAGTATTTTGCTATCTTTAGCTTTTAGCTAGCGTTTGTTTAAAATGATTTGTCAAGTGTTCAGATACTTTTAATTTGTATTCTGCTTTTACTGTTTTGCTTCTTTTAGCTTCTAGCTGGTGTTTGCTTCCTATGACATTTAGCTAGTGTTTGGCTTCTTTTAGCTTGAACAGCTCAGCTTTAGCTTCTTCAGTAGATTTCAGCTGTCATTCAGCTCTCGATGCCTTTACACATAAACTTTAAAAAATTCTTGTATTTAGTTCCAATTTTCTCACTTTAAAGAAAAAGTTGTTCAATTTAAGAACAAAAAGTAGCTAAAACCACAGACCTTACCCTCAGCCAGCCTCGGCTGTTCTTCAGTCAGTTACAGTGACCCCCCCAGGTGCTGCTGCTGTCCACCCCCCTCCGCTCTATTTAAACCATCTCTAACCTCCACTCCAACAGCGGTGCATTGTCTTGACTGTCACGTGTCAGTCCTCCCTCCTGTGCTCCCGGGGGGTTGTAAGTTGTTGCCATGTCAGCTCTTTGCTTGTATTTATTCAGAAAACAAGTTTTAATTTACTCCAGCTGTGTCTGTCTGCATCTAAGTAGCTTCAGTTAACCAAAATATATTTCTGCTATTGTCTTTCTCTGCAAATAAGAAAAGATTCTTCAGCTCTGAAGAAAAAAAAATTATTATATTATTATATTTTATTATATAAAAAATATTAAATGATTGCTTTACTTCCACTGAACAGATTTACTCCAACTCATCAAAGTCCGTTCTTTATCAACTTAATCAGAACAAGGTTTTTTTTAAGTGTTTTAGTTTAAAAAAATAGCTTATTTTAAGGAACAGTTGGCGACTCTAGCTGGTGCTAACTGCTATTAGCATCAGCTAGTTAGCACCAGCTGATGCTAATTTAGGAAAATAAACTTTTTAACCCGATTTTTAGACAAACCCACTCAACCTGTGAGCCACGAGACTGACAGTTTTTAAATAACATTTTAGTTTGACAGTTTAAAGAAATCTAAATTTGTATTTTAATGCTCCCTTTTCACTACTGATCAGGAACATGGTCCATCCATCCATCTGTTCATCCATCCATCTGTTTGTCCATCCATCTGTCCATCGCATCCTTCTGTTCATCCATCCATTCATTCAACCTTTATTTATACAGGTTCGTGTCACTGAGACTTGGGTACTCATTTACAAAGAGACCTGTCCATCCATCCATCTGTTCATCATCCATCCATCTGTCCATTCATCCATCCATCTGT